GTCACTGAACCCTGAGAAAAACAAACTCGGGGTAGTGCATGAGAGAATTCCCTTTTTAGGAGAGTGGAGACTGAAGGAGGACTGTATTGCAAAGTGGGGAGCACACAGCACTCAAACAGCATGGGGCTGAACATTACAGCGGGAATAGAGTACAGAAAAATCAGTGTCTCAGAAGCAGAGGGGTCACATTTCCTAAATACGCCTGCACATGCACATAACATTAAGGTTTTAAAATAATTTTTTGCTGTCATTTTTCGAGACAGGGTTTCTCTGTGTAGTCCTGGCTGTCCTGAAACTAACTCTGTAGACCAGGCTGATGTCGAACTCACAGAGATCACCTGCCTTTACCTCCCCAGTGCTGGGATTAAAGACATGTGCCACTACCACCCAACCAAAATAAATAAATGTTTATTCCATTTATATTTAGAGAGAGAGTGCTTTAGAGGGAGAGAGCTTTAGAGAGAGAGAGAATATGAATGTTGGCACATTCTGGGAATGAATACAACAAACCCCACAAATAAACCCAACTGTATAGCATACTATGTGATTCCATTATAAATTCTACAGAAATAATGACATTATGCTTCACTACTCACAAAAACGTAGTGGCAAAATTTTCTCCAAAGAGAAAAAAAAAATTCACCCCAAATAAACCACAAAATATCTGAGACAGATTGATTCAAGTTCATTACAAAGTCAGGTTCTATTTTAAATATGCTCCCTGTTACAATTAATACTTTTAAGTTTAAGTTTTTGGTAAATACTTGTTCTTGTCTTGACTACATTAGATACATCTAGTATCTTTTAACATTTAGATATTTGAGCCAGGGATGGAGATGCATGCCTTTGATCCTAGCATTTGGAAGATCTCCATGACCTCAAGGCCAATCTGGTCCTAAGCCAGCCAGTCTTGGCTACATAACCTGACCAAAAAAAAAAAAAAAAAAAAAATTAGCTCTTTGACCTTGGCACAAACCCAAAAGCTCACTTTACTCTTGTTTATAGAGCATCTAACACGAATCAGTCACCCTCCTCGTCCTGCCTAGCAGGTCTAACTGAATGTCTTTTCTGTCTCCAAGCTACAGGACACTTAAGTGATGAAAATACCATGAAGACAACACTCTGGATCGGTGGTTTCCTTCCTTCTATGTCTATGTATTTATTTATTTTATGTGCAATGGTCAGAGGACAACTTATGTGAATCAGTTCTCTCTTTCCACTATGTGAGTCCCAGGGGCTGAACTCAGGGCTGGCTTTCAATCCTCTATGTAGGCAAGGAGGATGGATTACAACCATCCTCCTGCCTCACCTCCCAAAGGGTGAGATTACAGGTGTATTCCCATCATGCCCAACAAGACTAGCGCTTTTCAACAAAGAACATTTTTATTCCCTAAAAGGCCATACCTGGAGTTGATTTGGTTGTCACAACAGGGGGTAAGGTGTGCCAATGTTACAGGGACCTAATGGTAGAGGCCACTGTTACTGTCACACAGCCTACATAGTGCATAGGTAATTCCCTATCATTAAAGATTTTCTGGCTCGGGCATTGGTGGCGCACGCCTTTAATTCCAGCACTCGGGAGGCAGAGGTAGGTGGATCTCTGTAAGTTCGAGGCCAGCCTGGTCTACAGAGCGAGTGCCAGGATAGGCTCCAAAGCTACACAGAGAAACCCTGTTCAAAAACCAAACCAACCAACCAACCAACCAAACAAAACAACAACAACAACAAAAAGATTTTCTGGCTCAAAATGTCAATGGTAGTAGCAAAGTTGAGAAATCTTGCTCAAACCAAGTGCATCCTATAAAAGTCCACAAGAGGCTTTGTTCCAGGTTTCTTCTCTTTGGAAGACATCCACCTTTTCTTTCTGAGATAGGGTCTCACTGTGCAACCCAGGCTGGCCTCTTTGGCTTTCCAAGCACTAGGATGGTAGGGATGCCCACCATGCCTGACACAGAGATGGGTCTTGGTCCTTTGGTGTGCATTCCTGTTCTTATCACTCTCTTAACTGTAGTGCTGAAGGAACACTCTTCCACCCTGAAATAGTGGCTGACCCAGGACAGCCAAGACCAACAGCAAATTGTCAGTCATATCTACTCACAGCCTGAGAGAAGACATCACACTTCATAAAAGGTCACCCTCAGGAGGGGAGAGAACAAGAAAAAGGCTTTGAAAGAGGATCAGGTGTTCCCTGCTTCCCAAAGGAAAATGTGACTATCCTGGGGGCTGCTAGGGAGGTAGAAGACTAGGAGATACGTGGTAACCCAGCAGATAGTGGAACTAGCTGGGAAGGAAGGCTTCTGGACCAGATAGGCAGTGCATGCCTGGCTAGGCCACTGGCCCTAACAAGGATGACAAGACAATACTTTATTTATTTAATTTTGATTTTCAAGACAGGGTCCCATTATATAGCTCTGACTGGCCTGGAACTCACTATGTAAACCAAGCTGGCCTCACGCTCCTAGAGATTCTCCTGCCTCTGCCTCCTGAGTGTCAGGATTAAAGGTGTGCTCCTCCATGCCCAGCCACACACAAAGTTTTAGACCTTATCTGATGAGCCCTCAATTACATCCTTACCTAACCCGTCCAATTGGAAAGCCTTAGACAGTGTAAGATCTTAACACTCGAGCAAGTCAGGGGTTGATATCAGCTGTCTTTCTAAACATTCACACCAATGATGTATATACTTTAAAACAGCCACACACGTTTCTACTTAGAAGGTAATCAGACTCAGGGCTGGAGAGATGGCTCAGTGGTTAAGAGCACTGACTGCTCTTCTGGAGGACTCATGTTCAATTCTCAGCACCCACGTGGCAGTTCACAACTATCTATAATCTCAGTTCCAAGGGACCCAACACCCATGGCAGAATACCAATGCACATAAAATAAAAATAAATAAATTAAAAATTAAAAAAAAAGATAATCAGACTCTCCCTGGACAATAAAAAAATGTATTGAACCACATAATTCCATTTAATGCTCAAAGCTAAAAATCAAAGCTGAGCAGAGTTGGTGTATTTGTCCGAAGTAGACACAGGAAAATTTCTAGTTCAAGGCCAGCTTGGGTTACACAGTAAGACCCTGTCAAAGAGAACAGAGGAGGAGAAAGGAGAGGGAATAAAAGAGACAGGAAAAGAAAAAAAAAACAAACAAGGGTAAAAGAGAAAAAGTCAGGTTAGATATAGGTAAAATTAAATCTGTGGTGTTTGAAGCGAAACCAGTGTCTTCACCTGGGCTACCTGGGTAGGAGCTGACTGAAGGGGACAGCGAAAGTACTAGCACATTCCTTTCTCCATTTAGAAGTAAAGATATACTCGATTATGAAAATTTATCCAGCTATACATTTATACTACAGTTTGTTCAGTGTCATTCTGGGGACTTGCGAGATGGCTCAGTCAGGAAAGGACCTGCTACAGAAGCATGAGGACCCGGGTTTGGATTCCCAATAGCCATGTAAAAAGCCAGGCACGTGCCTGTAACTACACGCCTGCAAGCCCATTACTGGAGACGGAAAGATTCCTGGGGCTAGCTGGTTAGCTGGCCTAGCTGGCCTACCTGTATGGTGAACTCCATGTTCTAGGGATACTCTGTCTCAAAAATAAGTTGGAAATCAAATTGAGGAAGACATCCAGTGTCAGCCTCTGGCTTCTATACACGTGTGCACACCGATGTACCGAAGAACAGTTTTAAAAATGATAATAAAATAAAATGTCATACCATATATTGGGGATACACATATTTTCTTTATAAAACAATTTTTTTTAAAAGTCAATAAAAAAAAATCAAACTGGGTGGTAGTGACGCGTGCCTTTAATCCCAGCACTCAGGAGGCAGAGGCAGGTGGATCACTGCATTTGAGGTCAGCCTGGTCTACAGAGCAAGTTCCAGGACAGCTAGGGTTACACAGAAAAAACCTTTCTCAAAAAAAAAAAAAAAAAAAAAAACCCAAAACCAAAAAAACCCAAAAAACAAAAAAACCAACCAAACAAAAATCACTATACTAAGACAAAAATATTTCCCTTGGAAGTACTAAAAATCAGGATTGGCAAGATGGCTCATTAGGTAAAGCTGAGTTTGATTCCTGGAACCCATATGAAGTTCAAAAGAAAAAAGTTAATGTCCTCTGACCTCCACACATGCACTGTGGCACACACCCCCACAGACACACAAAGATAGCACACTGAAAACTATTCGAATTATTTAAGCCAAAGCTGCTCCACGGGAAAAACAGTAGAGGAACATTGTGCAGAGCTCGTCTGGGTTTTCCTCAGGCATTTTACCTGGGCTCTCTGGAAGGGACACGATACATGTAGAGGGAAGCTCAGGCTTGGAGGAAGTCTGTATAACTATGGGCTGTGTCTCCAACCCTCTCCGCAATGAGTGCTGGGGTGGGTGTCCCATAGAGCACCCCAGATCCGAGGGTTCAGGAGAAGGAGTGACTACGTACACAACCATCTAGAAACTGAGTGTTTAGAGGAAACAGATGCCAAATGTGCTGTACACAGGCAATCCCGGCACTTGGGAGACAGACATTAGAGTCGTACATCTTCGGGGAGGGAGAAAAACAGTAACGTACCTGGGCCAGGGCCATAGTGTCAGAACTGCAGGAGCCAGTCGGCTCTTCAATGTTTCTCTGTGGAAGACTGTGGGGTTCAGAGAAGCAACGCTGGAATAAAAAGAATCCCACGAATCCAGATATGCCTAAAAGTTCCCAAATTAATTTATGTTAGTTAAGAGCAGCTTTTCCTCACATCATTCTTGCTTCCAAATCATCCCTTATCACTATAGTTACACCCATCCCAAACCCACTCCAAACCAGAGATTTCGAAAGGAAGCTCTGCGGAGACCCAG